CAGAAAGAATAAACCAGTTTTATTTAAGAAAGGACTTGTGTCGCTAAAGTTTCGTCGAAACAAATTTACGGAAAATTATCTAACGAACGGAGACGTAACCCGGTATTCCAGTTGATCAATATATTTTCACATTCTGGAAATAAAGTTAATTCAATATTACATAAGCTAGTAACAATTGCTAAATAGACTGTTTCTAATTTTTAACACAACTTTCATGAGTTTTATGCTTTTGTTAAAATACAGAACACCAATAAGATATTTTAACGGGTATAATAATAATCTTATTTGTCTATAAGTTAGGCCCATATAAAATTTATGATTATTATTTTCATTTCTTGGAAAAATGGAGCGAGAGGGAGTTTTTTTTTTTTATTAAAAAGAAATAACTCATATACCAATGCTAATTCATCTTTTATAACATTAACACACGTCAAATAATGTTACTCTAAACATATTCAGTTTTGTTTGTGTCAGTATATACATTTACAAAATATAATGTATTGGAGCTGTGTCATTCTCGTCGGGTTGGGCGAAGATGGTAATTATTTTATCCCGAACTGAACAAGTTTTATATATAAGAGTATATCAATCCTACACCATGAACTTAATTTTGTTGTACATATGATGTGCGCCATCTTAAATGAACCGTATAGAATTTCAAAATTATGCAATACAAAAAAGTCACTACTCAATGTAATTTAGGTCCAGAAAAACAAACAAACTGCAGTATATCTTTGCTAACCCATACAAAGTTATTTGCCATATTTTAAAACCCCTAAAAAATTATTCGAATACATATTTCCGATAAGATTACCATGGCAAGAGAAGGTTAGTGTTGTTTAACATTTTGAATAGGCTTACGCCTTCACTTATGCCCAATTCGGAACAATGACTCCAATATGAAAAAGCGTAGTTTTTGGAATGGTTTCATCATTAGGCACTGTCTATATTATCACATTAACGGCCTTAGTAAAAGTGGTTGAAACTAGGCTACACAGTAGTCGCTATGTGAGTTTCAACCTCTTTCGGGTTTGCACATTTCATACAACCAACATAAATTTATGTTCTTAACCGTTAGACTAGAGGGCACGATAACATTATGTGATGTCATTGAATTTCAATTTTTGGTTTGCGCTGGTTACTAAGACCAGAGCTAGGCTTAAACGAGAATATAATGTATACAAGCGGATAGCCTTATATTTGTAGAAAAGGCTCACTAATTCAGTAAATATTCTATTTTCTTGTTCGTTACTCCATAAGTGTTACATACATACATATACTGATATATTTATATATATATATTGGATTTTGACATATGCTATTTTTTTCTTACTAATGACAAGTTAAGCTTACGAAGCTAACTTTAATTTAAACTTAATTACAACAAATATATATATAAATGTTAAGAAATTAGTAAAAATATTTACAGTATAACATTAACAGCTCTACATAATGAGAAACGCTTTACCTTTTAAGCTCAAATTACCATTAACAGTGCTGACTATATTATATCAGTATAAGATGTTTATGAGCTAATCCACTGTGGGAATATAACTACAAGTAACAGTATTACTTTTGTGCGTAAGAACTAAGTTAAGACAATAATCAGTTAACTTTTGAATTTTATTAAACTTTTACCACATTTAATGTTTTATTTTCTATTTTAATCTGCTACTTATTCATAACCGATCCAAATTTAAAGTGTTAATGTTTCATACTAAACTAAAAAAAAAATCATACGTATTATTAACATATAATACCGTAGTGTAAGATTACAAGACTATAAAACTTTTCGAACTTGTAGTTATAGCCTAATTTATTCTTATTACCTAGTAATATTTGCTTAATAAAAATAGGCCTATAGACTAATAACCGGTTTACATTTAGGGTTATTGTTCATACTTTTGATGCCTATCGAATTCGAAGTCAAAATAGCCAAACTGAAATATGCATTGTAAATTAGCATTGCTCTTAGAATTTACCGTAAATTAAAATGTAATATATAAATTACAAAAATATACCTCTATTGCAATTTGTAAGACCTGAACTGGTTATTTTATTTTTAGATATCTTGTCCTCACCCACATGCTACATAGACTACTCGGGCATGATTTTTTTTAACTGTTTCACACATGAGAGATACTTTAAATATCACTTTATGTTTTAAAGTAATTTTATGATTTTGCTATAAAAATTCACAGTATCCCTGGAAAACAAAATAATATTTAAATTAAAACATTACTTTTATATATAATTCGTCTGGAGAAAGGAAAAGGTCTACCATATAAGTTGATAGCTTTCAGGGAAAATTTATGGTTTTTTGTGTTGAAAATATCACAATTTCTCAGCATGAAAGTTAATGTTTTTCTTAGTAAAACTACGAAAATACATAGGAAAATATTATTTTGTGTGTTTCACAAAATGTTCGAGTTCTAGAGGAAATTATCAAGAAAATCTGACAAATTGATATTTATAATAATGTCGGTTTTTTAAAACAAGGCCACTCCGATAAATATATAATTTTTTTCTTGTCATCTCGAAAAATAAAATGTTTCAAAAATGACAGTAGTGTTAAAGAATAATACTATCTGTGATATATAATCTCATACTAAGTTACAAGCTCCATATCATGATAAGCTGAAAACTGAAGTTTCGATCAATGCAAACTCTTGCCAGTCAAACTTAGTTAACACTACCGTTTGTCTTTTTACAGCTTCAGTGTGAAAACTGACTTCATTGTTTTTAGTTACAAACCACTGTTACGTCTCTGTTCGTTAGTTAATTTTCCGTAAATTCGTTCCGCGTGAGTTATAACGTTGTTATAGAGCGACTATTGAAATTAAGTGTATCGTAAAGTTGTATTCGGAAAGAATAAACCAGTTTTATTTAAGAAAGGACTTGTGTCGCTAAAGTTTCGTTCTCACGTAGCCAACATTATTTTATCCGCATACATTCAATTACTCATTACCTCCACGTCGCTTCGTGGCCGGTCTTATATATACCATACTTCCCCCAATCTAGTAATCTCCCGACAATTCACGAAGGAACAGGATATTTCTAGAAGGAGGTGGCGTGATACTAGTCACGTGACCTCGTTGACGCAACACCACCTCTATGCTCTTTCATTCCGAAGTAGGCTTAAATACCGTTAACTTTTCAGTTAAAAGTGTCACCCAGGTTTTCTCCGCCTCGAGTTTTAGTATAAAACACTTGAGCTCACGTAAAGTTATCAAACCTAATGTGATTGATACCAAAATGCTGATTCGGTACAGTATAATCCTTATAAGAAAGTTGATTTACAACACTAAATATATCAAGTCAGTTTGTTATCCGATCAAAATATGTTATATGTACAAAAACAAGCATGTTAGAATAACGGGATTAGCCATATAAAGATACGATATATATAAAAGCCGAGGTATATATAAGGCAAACCCTAAGTACAGAAGTAGATAAGTTAAACAACATAACAAAAAGGAAACTGGGGAATACTAAGCCCCGTTTTTGATAACAACAAGGACAAGCAACAAATAAAAAAGAACATGAAAATTATGAAGAAGAATTTTACTACATTTTGACTGATTATATCTCTTAATCTAAAATAGACATGTACCACTGTTTTTAACATGATGTAAAAGTGTTTAGATTTGTTCATCAGCATACGAACAGTGGCATTCCAGCACTTCGAACAGATTTGGCCAAAGATTCGGTCTTTTGTAGTCAAAAGAGTGTTACTCCATCGTCTTCATTAATTTGTATTTCATTAACGATTTACACAGCATTTTAAATTATTTGAGTTCTGATCTTGTGACCACCAGTTCCTAAGAAAGATCAGCTGAGAAATGAAAGTTTCAATCAGGTCTCTTTGGTAGTTCTTAAGAAGGCTCAGCTGAGAACTGAAGGTTCCAATAGGTCTCTTTGCTAGTTCTTAAGAAGGCCCAGCTGAGAACTGAAGGTTCCAATAGGTCTCTTTGCCAGTTCTAAAGAAGGATCAGCTGAGAACTGAAGGTTCCAATAGGTCTCTTTGCTAGTTCTTAAGAAGGCCCAGCTGAGAAATGAAGGTTCCAATAGGTCTCTTTGGTAGTTCTTAAGAAGGATCAGCTGAGAACTGAAGGTTCCAAACTTCCAATAGGTCTCTTTGCCAGTTGTAAAGAAGGATCAGCTGAGAACTGAAGGTTCCAATAGGTCTCTTTGCCAGTTGTAAAGAAGGATCAGCTGAGAACTGAAGGTTCCAATAGGTCTCTTTGCCAGTTGTAAAGAAGGGTCAGCTGAGAACTGAAGGTTCCAATAGGTCTCTTTGGAAATGAAAGAGCACAGAAGTGTCTGTATATCTAAAAACACTCAACCTGTAATATTAGTTACCGATAATTTTATTTTATTTTTGGAGAGTTGGGGAACGGATATCATTATTTAGCAGAAACAACATGTTTGATTAGGAATTCTTTAAATCTTAAGAACAAAAGTAAGTTTATCACTACCTTTATTAAATATATGAAATTATTAAATGTCACGTAGGAACAAACTGGTTTTATATCAATAGTTTGTATTAATGATATAGATATTATTTGTAAAGTATTCTTAAAATGAAACAGTAAAATAAAAAATGTATTATTATCTCTATTAGTAACATAATTGTGGAAGATGTTGACAGCGCTTAGATAAAAATCAAAGTTATTTCTCTGAACGTATGTTTTGTTAAGATACTTCTTGGTTCTCAAATATAAAATACCAACAGCACCTACTATAATTCGTTAATTTTTCCAAGATACCACTATTGGTGAGTAATAATGCTATAGCATTTCCGGCAATTTAAAAACGGAAATATTACCCTGGCGATAATTTACGCTTTCTAGCATTACTATATGCGTAGGAAGACTGTATTTTAAATTTTTAGTTTGTTCGTTTTAGCACATAGTTACACAATCGTCTGTATGCGCTCTGTCAACCGTGAGGAATTGGACCCGGAATTTAATGTTGTAAGTCCGTAAACCTACCACTGTCTCACCGGGGGGACGTATTTCGAGGATAAATAACTTGATAATAAATTATTTATTGAAAATTGTCAGAATTTAAAAATATAGGTCTTTCCGCCAATTGTCAAAATAAAAGGCTTTAACTTATATTTCTTAATAGTATAAATATATACTGGGTTGTTGTTGTGCTTAGGATTATTCTACAGTGAGTTGTTGGCGATACATTCAACGATAAATAAACAGCACACACTTTACTTGTTTTCAAATATATATATATGTATATTCGGAACAAGTTAAACGTGTGTACGACAAAGTCTTCACACTATACATGTATAGATTATAGACATATCATAAACACTATTTATATATAGTTCTCTTCTTGTCAAAAGTCCACTTAGGCCTATTCAATTACTTTAGAATTTCAGTTGACAAGCCAAACTATCTTCTCTATTACTATCGTACTAGTATTCTGTATGATTCACTTACAATTGTGGCGCAAATAAGGCGGGGGAGAAGTGACGGCATAAATAATGGCAGATAGGGAGATATAGAGACAGATAATTGAGTCGAGTGAGCGGTAGTGACCGCAAGTAAAATGCGTGAATCGTTGTGAATTATAGCGTGTGTTAAAGTGAAAGTGACTGTGGAAATTCTGTGTATTGCAAAGTTGTGTT